CGACGCCCTATATTTCTAGTGAAGTATTTTTCCTTTACTATCCAAGTCCTTTTGATTTTTTCTTCCCACTCGCGTCCATCCCAATATTTATGGACTATCCCCTATTATAGATCGATGCGCCGGGTTGTCTTTTCGAGTTATCCGCGCCTGAGGTCTTCCTGGGGGGCCGTTTTCAGGGCCGCGTCCGCCGCACCGGCGGGGCCCCACGCCGACCTCAGCCCCCCCCCCCAGCCCCGTGCGCTCACGACCCCGGAGGCCGAAATCGTGGGCGAAACGATCGACCCCCGGCGGGGCGCCGCCGCCGATGGCGGCCCGCCTTCCGAGGACGGGGTCCGCCTTCTCCGCGAGGAGGAACATCGCCTCTTGGAGCTCCACAAACTCCGGCATTGGTATTCCCAGGACGGCGCGTACGTCGGGTCTCGGGTCAAGGACGCCGTGTCCGCTGAGGTGGACCGGCGGCGGCGGCGGGCGGTTCTTCGCGTCCCCCAGCCCGATTTGCCCTACCAGCCCAACGAGACCTCCTTCCGGCGGCTCCCCAAGCATGTCCGCCTGCCCAACGAGTTCGAGCTCCGCGCGATGTACCCGCTTTCCACGAGCTTGGCCCTTGTGGAGGGGAAGGCCGACTGCGTGGACCACAGCGCGTTCGGCGTGGAGGAGGCGCCCTTGCCGATTTCCTACAGCATGTTGGCCCCACCGGACTGGTCGCCTGGGCGGTCGTACCCTTACCTGGTGGTGCTCTCCGACCACCGCGGGGTTCCGCGGGATTTCGAGGACGTGTGCGCGAACTTCTTCGAGCGGCCCGTGCATTTTCGGCTGATGTCCGACCAACAATGGGTGGTCCTCGCGCCGGTGATTAACATGCGGCACAACTTCCAGGTCCCCGTGGAGGGCATCGTCGCGCGGTTTTGCGATTGGGTCGGCGAGAACTTCAACGTGGAGCACGGGAGGGTGCACTTGTTTGGCAAGGGCTACGGCGGCTACGTGGCGTTGCGGACGGTGCTGGATTACAAGGATGTCGCCATCAGCGTCACCGCGATTTTGGGACGCAATAACTCGCCCTTCCGCCCTTTTGATCGTCCGCAGGATCGAATCAAGAATTTTAACGGCGTCCACAGCTTAGTGTTCGTCCCAGGCCTCTTGAGGAAGCAGGATTATTACTACAAATTCAAACTCATGATGGATATGGGGCGAGTCCGGCCTCCGCTACGAAATATCCACTTTGCGGATGTTTGGGACCATCAAATTTATTATGCGATAAACCCCTATGAGTTTTGGAACTACATGCGATACTTTAGAGAGTTCAACATGAAAATGATCACCGAGAGCGGGTATTCGATTTGATTTACGTTTTATTTTTTATCCATTTGCGTTGTAAAAAAAACAAAGGAAAAAACGGATGAATTTATTATAGTTCTGAGGGTTTTATTATTATTATTTAAAATGTTTCAATTCTTTAATTTACATTTTAGAGCTCTTTTTGAATTTTGTATTTTTCCTTGTGGAGCTTAATAGCGGAACCCTAACCTCCCCCTCCCCCCTCCAAAAAAAGAAAAGAAAAGGTATTCATCACTGTTTTCTTATTCCATTTAAAGATGCACAATGAACTTACCGCGCTTCTAGACGATGACGAGGAGTGGTTTAACATCCCGCCGGTGCTTCGCAAGCTGCTTCGCGCGATGGCCGAGGAGGGCGGGAGCGCGCGCCGGCTTGTCGAGGCGCTTCGCGTAGAGCAGAAGGCCACCAACGCGCTCGTCCGGCGCCTGGTGCAACGGCAAACCGACCTGGAGATCGACGCGGCGAAGGCGGCGATGTTGGCCAAGGCCAGGCCCCGCGACGGCGAGGGCGGCAAACTGGCGGACAGCGTGCGGGGCCTCAAAAAGGCGCTCGCGGGGCATCAGGCGGCCCTCGACGCCGTCGAGGGG